GAGGGAGGGAGGGGGAGAAGGGGAGAGAGGGAGGGTCCCACAGAGACACAGAGGCTACTTCCAAGATAAGAAAGCGCTCAAGTAAGCATTTCTTCTGCAAACCTTGGAAGAAAGCAACTGTCTTTAAATACAATTCATGAAGACTCTGTATTTCACATCTCAATTTTTTGAAAACGGCAGATTCATAGAAACTGGCACTTTTCGTGTTTGTTTCAATTTTTTTGCAATTAGCAGCCAAAGTCCCCATTCAAAAGTCCCCTACCAGCACAGGACAGAGAGAAACGGGCTCCGAGGGGACAATCTGGACACGATGTGACCTGTGTCATCTGCTCAGCCACCCAGCCGGGAAAGTCTCGCCAGCCCAGAGGGCAGAGGGCAATGGATATTAAAATCTGGAACGCATCACAGATGACACGTCGTTCGTTACGTGAAATATTCTCGAGAATTATTCTTCTGAGGCCTTATAAACCCTGGACCACCCTGTGTATTCCTTTTTTATGGACGTAAAATCGATAGCTATCTCGACCAGGTAGACGCCTCCCCCAGCTGACACTTTGCCCTGGAACGCACACGCGAGAACAGCATCATTCGTTCATAATATTTAAACAATCGTGAACCATATGTAAATGAGCGTTAATATGCATTTAGCTCAATAACAGATTTTTACATGATTTTCTGGGTGTGCTGCACCATACAGCCTGCTATGTCGGAAAACTGTAAGACGCCTAAGAAGAAAACACACTGCATTTCCTGTTGGCAGTAAACGTTTCTCACTCCTTGCTTTCCGAATGACGGGATGTACTATTTCCTCTCTGTCAAGAGGCCTTTCCGTTTCCACCCCGTGCCTCTCCTCTCTCGCGATATTGTTCTATGCTTTTATTTGGCCACCTTCCCCCAGGTAGGTGAGAATTTTTAACATACCTCTGGAAGTGACGCTGAATTTCCGGTCAGAGAAACTGCTTCTTCGGATTAACGGTTCACTCATCTTTTCCAGAAATAACTTAATCGTCTCCTTCTTTTCTGGACTCGTACTCGACAAATTCAGAACCTTCCCATCCACCTTCACAGTGGAATTGCTGAGCCCGAACCAGTAGAAGAAATCGAATAACGCGTCGGCTTTGAATTCGTAGGCGAAGCTCAAATTTTCTCCGTTAACCACTTCGTTTCCTGGAGGGAAAAACTTCTTGACCGCCTCTTGAAAATCAAACTGAGAGAGAGAAAAAGACTCGATGAATTTCATGCATATAACAATAATGGTCCAACCCAGAATTCCAGATCATTATAAAATTATATTACAGAAACAATGTGCGAAGTATCAATCTCATATTTCTCTCTTATTCCGATAGATGTTTTTGAATAGTCGTCTTTATTTCTTGCACCCACGTCACATTCCATGGGCCGACGGAACAGACGTGGCGTCCGATGCCATTTCTAACACGTTGCCAGCACATCGGCTCGTTTTCTTGGTCATGATACAACAGAAAACATCCATGTCCGGGAGCAGCTAGGTCAGCGCTGAGCCTTAGGGACGCGGCCCCACGCGAAGGTGCCCGAACCCCCGTGTGTCGCCGCAGCTCTGGGGCCCGACTGGCCGGCAGTTACCTGAAGCCGGTAGCTTTCTCCAATCACTGAGGAAATGACGGTGTCCATCCCTTGCTCTATTTGCCTTCTTATCTTGGGGTGCCTTGTGTTCACGAGGAACGCGTACGTCCTTTCTAGAAACGAGGGAGCAGAGTTCAAGAAGAAGCAGGCGACAGAAACACCTCTCAGCGTGCGACAAGGTGGCGGGTCCCACCGTACCAGGAGATTTTACTCGATTACAGCTTCCCTCGCCGCCAAGCCTCGCCAGATTTCTAGACACGTTTCTGAGAATTTTGAGGACATGAAAGAAGCAGCTCAGACATTCAGCGGCCCCGAGGCTGCCCTTTGTCACTCTCGTCTGGGGAAATCGAAAGTTCCGTGTCACTGCGGTCACAGCGGAGAACGGAGCCTGTGCCGTGTGCATGAGCACTCGGGACCACTGGTGTTCCTGTGACTGCCTTGCCAGACATCTCAACGGCGACTTGGCGCTCACTAACATGGCTCCTTTGCAGAAAACCAGCCAAGTCCAGGGGAGGGGTCCCCCACGCCTCCCCACTACCTTCCCCCAGAGACCGGGCTTGTTCTGCCAAAAGGCTGGTCTCTGGGGCTACAGGTCCAGGCCACCGGAGGCTGACTGTCCATTGCTTAAATTATCCCATCTCTGTGTCCTGGCACGGGGGGTGGGGGTTGGTTGTTCGCTTTTCTTTTTAAGCTCTTAAATCTGATTCTGTCCGATTCTATACAGTCTAAGCCAAGGGAGGGTTGCCAACTCCTTAGGAAATAGGAAATACTATTAACCAACAGCCCCTTAACTCTCCAGCCCCCAGAAACGAGCTGCACGGCCTTAGTGACTCAAGCGCTTTTCCTAGGGCGTCACCCTCTGGTTAAAGGCCACGGACCAGCCACTAGGCGATTTCGAAGACTCAACACTTGGCCTTGGCGTTGCGCATCGAGCCTGTGGCCCACCGGGGACCTGTGCCACGTCCTCGAGGAACACACTGTGAACTAACCTTGCTGTGACCTAATTCATCTTACTTTTCCTCCCCTTGTTCTTCTCTCTCTCGAATTATTTTCTGGGTGCTTTAGATATAAACTACTTTCTGTCCTCTTTGAGATGAGATGTAATGAAACCAGTAAAGCCAGAAGCGGTACTACACCTCGAATTAACTTTCGCCCCAACCGAACCAGGACCTGTAGCCTCACGACGTACCCAGGGCCAGCACACCCCACGGCGTCCTGGCTGCACAGGCTGCGCACTGCACAGCTCTGGAGAATGTCACGCGCATTCGCGGACATCGGCTGTCTGGGTGTTTATTATGACCGACTTCTGGGAAGAATCGGCAAGTCGTCCTGAGTTAATGGTGGCTTTTTCTAACTTGCACAGACGTAGTTTACGATAGCAGTGGGGCCAGATGTGTTTCCTTCATCCCAGTTTTCATAAATTAAACTCGACCGCCTGAATTAAGCTTTTCACATCATGACTCTCTCCTCACGAGGACGCGGGCCTGGCTCCACACGCCTGCTCTAAAACGTCAACAAGGAGAGGTCTCTGATTCTCCCTTAAGATTCCTCCTGAGAGGCGGACCAGGAGGGGATCTTGATGCATCTGTGAATGGCATCGCTAGAGAAGTCTCCGGATTCCTGGCCATCGTCAAGCTGAATAACATCAGGGACTTGGAGGCCCTCCTGGAGCTGCCTGTCCCCGAGCTCTGCCCCGTGGCCCTCCCTCCGAGAGCACATCCTGACGTGGAGTTAGGGAGTGAGCAGAGAATCTGAATGGCTGAACCCACTACTGAGCAGAGGGTCAGCCGGGAACGAGACGTGAGCAGAAGTCTCCTGGGAATGTGTCGCTTTAAGAATGTTATTTAGAAGTCAAGTTTAAGGAATTCTACTTCTATGATTATGTCCTTGATTTTCCCACCTATCCCTCTGAGCAGGAGGAAGAAGGGGAAATTGAGATAGTTCCATATTGGAATTTGAATTAATGTAGTTGTTACCAGCTAGTCTGATTTCTAGGAAGAAACAATAAAGAGACGTTTCTAGAACTGACATTCAAAGATCATAGCACGAGACAGAGAAGCATCTATGGTACTTATTTTACCTTAGCTTCCTCGTCTACAGAACGGGGCTGGTAGAAGCACCTGACAGGTACAGGGACCACGCATCCCGGTCTGCCCATCAGTCCCAGTCACAACCCTGTCCCCGCACAGTTAACATAGGCCCTGCCCGGCTGCTGTGCCAGTCAGGGACATTGGGGTGTGCCTGGGACCCCTGAGTGTCTGATACGTGGCGGACAGCGTCATGCAGCATCACAAGAGGGCATTCATCCTGCTGCCTCCGTGCCCGACCCCCACCTCGCCAGCATGCCGCGGTCCACAGCCCGGTAAAGCCGAACTAAACCGAAATATTTATATACCGACCTTTCGAGGGGTTCTTTCTCGTCTGCACGTGAACGAAGAACAGCATCGGTTTGCTCAGTATGGTTTCCCTGTAGTTTTTATAATCACAGTAGTTGGTCAGTTCCACGTATCTGTGAAAGGAGCAGAGATCGTTGCAGAGGTAAGGAGCCCTCCCCTCCCAGGCAGGCAGGGACGGACGTCTGGACGGGCGCCCCCCCACATCCCCGGTCCCCGTAAGAGCAGTGCCCTAAACTGTGTCCTTGCACGGGCAGCCATATCGAGTCCCACAGAAGTCAGTCCCTGTCTCCCGGTTGGCTGAGACCAACACACCCCCCCAAAGGTGACCACGGTCCCCGGGGTGGCCTGACACTGACGCCTGGCCCTCCGATGACGGCCAGCACCATCTGTCTTTTGGGCTATAAGGGTTCACTTGAAGCTGTAAGGGTTCTGCATCTCTCAGAATTGAGAATGAAGGGCGCTCGGTAAGTGGAACCGGCCGGGTCTTCTCCAGGGCAGGCACCCCATCTTACCAGCGGGTCTGAAATCTCCCCTTCCTTCTCCCCTCCCTTTCCTCCTTCAATCCCCAAATAAACCCAGCCGTCCCCATAGATGAGACATGCACCAACATCCGCGTGAACGAATTCGCATCTCCCTGATCCTGAGCTCGTGCCGTTAAGGAAACGACAGGCCCCCGTCCACTTGAGTGCCCGTGGTGTCCTTCCGTTCACCACTCCGCCTGCCGTCCAGGGTGCCAGCACCCTCTCTCTCCTTACTCTACAAATTTGCCACGTCGCCTTTCAAAAGCTGATTACAAAGGCAGATCCAAGTGTAAATTGGCTTCCTTGAAGAAGGTGACTGATTCTCGAACCGAACCCCAGCTCAGGTGCTGCATGGACACAGGCAGACGCATGGCGCCCAGTCCAGCAGGCCGGGGGTGTGTGGCTGCCACAGTCCCTCTTCACGGAGCTGGTCCCCTGGCGGCCCAGCTGGGGACGGCTGCACGGAGAGCTGGGCGGCCTAGCGACAGCGTGGGCGGCTTCTGCTGCACTGCAGCCCGTCTGCTTCTGACACCTAGTCTCCGGCGGAGACGGCTCCAGCATTTCCCTCTGGCTTGTCTTTTCAGTATGGAACATGAAAATGATGGCCTTGGAGAGCTCCCCGCAGCCGCCCTCCCCGCCCCGACGCCCATAACCCACTTAGAGGGGCCAGCGCACAAGACCGTGACCCAGGAGTGGGAGAGAGGGGGCACGTGGGGGGACATCCACCCCCGAGCCGGGAAAACACAGCTCCCGCGTCTGCCTCCCAGCTTGGTTTCCTAGAAATACGTGTCATTATCTTTTCTCTGGGCTTGTCAGACCTGAGTGTGAGCGCTTTTAAAGCCTGACCCCTGATGGAGCCTCTAGAACGCTTCCTGCCTTGTGCTTTGCCAGGCTTTTAATGCGGTCGTCATCCACCGACCCCTGGACACTGGTGGTGGGGCTGGGGAGGGGACACAGGGCTGGTGCCTTCCAGGGGGGCATGGGGGAGCAGGTGCTGATGTTTGGGGGTTTTGCTCGGCTCCTCCTCCATCTCCCCGCCTCCCCGCCCTCACCTGGGCAGGCCAGAGAGGACAAGGTGAGTGGGCACGCGAAGGGAGAAGCTCTTGTGCCCCCTGTCAGCACAGAGAGAATGTTCTGCTCATCTTCATCCCTCTCGTTCACTTCAAAGACACTCGCGGAGCGCCGATAGCGTGCTGGGCACCCGGTACGCCTTCACACGGGCCTCGGCACGTCTGAGGGGCGCAGGGCCTGGGAAGCGGGGGGTAGGGCAGAGGGTGGCCGTACAGGGGCTGCTCCGTGCTCTGTCATCCCCTGTGCCAGGCAGGCCGATGTGGCCGGGGAAGAGGAGAGGTCTGTGGTTGCAGGGGGGCGGGGGTGAGATGCGGAGGGACAAAGGAGGAAGAATACTCTCGTAGCCAAGGGAGGAGGGCAGGGCAAGGCTCATGGCAGCAAACGGACAGGTGCGTGAGGCCGGGGCGGCCTCAGGTGCCCCGGTGAGCCACCCGCAGTCGATCTGCGTGTTCGCCGGCCTCGCTTGCCACAGCTAATCTATAGCCACGTAACATTCTCCTCGAAGCGATTCGTCTGCTCTCCCGGCATCCACGGTCTGACTGTCACCCTCGAGGGAGGGTGACACAGAGTGCGTGTGCGCAGCACAGCCGGAAAATCGGCTACTATGCCCGTGGCACAACTGACGCCGCTTGCCTCTGCCTACGGGATCGACGGACATCTGATCGCAAGCGTCAGCGGCGGGAAAAAGGTAAAAATCTCAACTTAGAAATGCTCGCGGGTTGTGAAAATAATCAGTTCCCCCCAGAATTCTGTGGCAGGCTCTTCGGAATGCTGTGGGGCTCACGGCACTGTGATGTGGCAAACTCAGAGACGGGGGCCGGGCGGGGGGCTTCTGGAGAGCCACACACTGAGTTTACCGTGTCACCTACACACGAGTCACCCCTTTCTTTTAGAGTCTGAATCGATAAGACGCCCTGACTCATAAAACTCTACGTGGCATCATTTAATCCCCCTTCGATGATTTAGAGGCACTTTTAGAATCTTAAGGGGCCCGCAAACTTCACCGCAGAGCATGTCAGTTATCAGAGCTCTCATGACAGGAGTTGCAGAGAAGAGACGGTGGCAAGATGCCTACTTAATGAACGCTCTACTTAAACCAGGTCACCAAGAAGAAACACCTCCACTAGTCATCCGCTCCCAGCCTCCTGGTTCTGGCCCAATAGTTCAACACCTCCAAACTCCAGAGAAAGAAAGAAATATGAGTGCGCTTTTGGAATCCACTGGGTAAAATCTGGCTATGTAAGTCACTAAAATAAGTCACAAAAAGACGGAGGATGGAGTAGCGAAGTCGTACAGATATTTAGGTATCTGACATCTGATCGTTTGTAAGACAAGTTATTAGACTGCGTTAGAGACCGATGATTTCATGTTTAATAGTGCACGATTCTGAATCGCTCAGGCAAACACTGCTGCTGTGGACTGGGTACTTATTACATTTGCTTATAGTTGAAGATTGTTCTTTTGAGTTCTCATTTCTTCCTTGCTTTTACCCTGGCCCCCGACACTTTCTGCACCTGACTCCAGGGCAAAGCTCAGGAGGCAGAACACTGCGTGGTGAGAAGCGGAGGGATTCGAAATGAGAACATCGAGTTCATGTGCTAATTTCCTGGCTGCATGAACTCAGTCCCACAGCCACAACCCACTGTGACGCCGAGCGACTGACTTAACCCGCCTGGACCTGTGCCCTCATCTGTAAAGGGACATAACAGTATTGCCTGCTGTTTGATGACTCGATAGTGCAAGTCGCATGAGACACACGCGCTTGGCCCCATGGTTAGATGCTCCACAAATACGATTCGTCTCTAATCTCTACTGGCCACAGGGTGGAGTTCTGTAAGCTTCTGACACCCAATCAGGGCTGGGTTCCCTTGAGTGACCGAGAAAGGAGGACAAAATGAGTCTCTGAAAAATAAGGGAGCAAGAGTCTCTCCTTCCTGGCTCCAATTTCTACTCTCAATTTTTTTCTGTTGAAAAGACTAAAGGGAGCAGCTTAATGAAAGCGCTATCTGAAAGGCAGGACCAAGAAAGAACGCTATATTTTTGCTCCCAGCCCATCGGGACTCGCTGAAAGGTCACCCACCTTCTAGGACAGCCCCCCTATTCTGGAGCTCCCTTCAGGTTTCACATTGTCTCTAGCACGATCTGAAAAGCTGCTCCAAATTTCCCTTGGCTCTCACAATTTACCACTCAAAGACAAATAAGAATTTGAACCCATAGCTTCCATCTGAGAGTGTGTGTGTTCGTTTAAAAAAAAAAAAAAAACACAGAGAGAAGAACAGAGAAGAAGGGACACTTGTTGGAACAGTCCTTGTGTAGAAAGCCCAGAAACTGTCAGTGTTCATGATCCTCTGCTGTGACACCAAGCAGAAGCTGGAGGGGACACGCGAGATGGCCCTGCTGTGTTTCCAGTGTTAACGTGCTGGCTTTATACAGAGCCTCGCCCCAAGTGCTCACAGTCTCTTCTACTCCATTTCCTCCCGTCCTCCTCCTGTCCCTACGCTAGTGAAATGAGGCGAAACTTTTAGATTTATCACTCTACCGCCTGCGACTCGAATCGAGGGTACGGGCGTTCGTTCGTCCATTTGCCCATGATGATGGACAGTGCTTGTGAGAAACGCTGCGAACTCATCCATTCACTCGTTCACGTAATAAACATTTGCTGGGCGCTGGGGACCCCGATGAGAAAGGAAATCGCCCTGCTTTCAAGAAGCATGCAGTCCATTGAGGAGACAGATGGGAAAATGCACCCTTTCCATATGGAAATGGTCTAAGACCTTGTCGCTTGAAGTGCGGTCCCTGGACCACCAGCACCGCCTCATGCGGGAGCTTGTAAAGCTGCAGATTCTCGGGCCCCTCTCCAGGTTTATTCAATCGGAAAGTATGTATCACGAGATCTCCCCAGGAGACCTGCACACTTACTTAAAATTTGGGAAGCACCAGTCTAAGACATGTTCCTCCCACTCAGAGGCTTACAAACTAGTTAATCATTCAAATATACAGATGCCAGAGGAATGCAGGGTCCTAGGTTCTTTCTGATTCCTGCGGCCCAGTTATTTATATAAGGAGCAAAGTAGGAGGGGCCTGTGGTTAGAACCATTTATTGAGCCAAAGAGGGTTGGTCTGTCAGGCCCAACATCCCCCTAATGGGTGGACAAAGCAGGAGGGAAACGGGACCCCAGGAGTCATGGCTTCGCCGGGCCTTGGGGATGATGAGGTGGCTGCCTCGGGCCTCCAGGACAAGGCACGAGGCAAGGACAAGGCGAGCTGAGAGCAGGAAGTGTGGCTGGGTCCAGAGCAGGGGCTCCAGGGGGAAGGGAGGCGGGAGAGAAGGCAGCAGAGGCTCCTGGCTTTTCCATCGCCAGGTCATTCTAAACGCCAAGACAGGCGGAGGAGCCGGCTCTGCCAAAAGCCTAACCTACAGCTCCAATGAATTCTGGGCATTTTTATTCTTCCTACTGTTCTCAAATACAATGGTTATCTTCTTTCGAAGTCTTCGCAAATCCGATCTCGAATTCTTTCTCTCCCCGTCCCCTGCTTATGGGTTGGAATTTTCAATTCACTAAGAAAGGGAGACATTCTTGCTGGGGAATGGTGTTTCAGGCACTCAGAGCCCTCGCTCTCTCCGTGTCAATAAACGAGGTTTTCCCAGCCGCTTTGAAGAAGCCATTTTAAATGTCATTCTGTTTGCTCGCCCCTCTTGGCTGTGTCCCGTCCACAGGGTGGCACAGCGCTGCTGTGATTTCCAATAGCAAAGGCTTTGTAGCCGGGGAGGCTTACTCATGTCTGAACCAAGCTCTAGACCGTACTGGCCCACGCCCTGGCACTCAGTTCTGCACCCGAATATGACCCCCCCGCCGCCCCCTGCCACGCATACACACACGCACACGCGCGCACACACGCACGCACACACACACACCTACGCAGACACACCCTGCGCTGGCTTTTCCCAGAATGTATCTGCCCACGCCTCGGCCCACAGGCCCTGCGCTGGACCTCCCCCGGAGCTGGTCCCTGCTCAGCTGTGGTTGGTTGATTTATTTGAAACACGAAGGGAGGTCAAAGGTGGGACACCTACAACTTTCTTCGCTTCTCCACTGGGTCTCCTCACTGAGTAAAGCTCTCAGGGCGCAAAAATGAGCAGCCGCCTTCCCCTCCGATCCGCCCCTCGCCACCACCCCAAGGGCAGGGCGTGGGTCCCTCCAAAACATCCCGAAGGGTGTGCCGCCAACTTGAGCTCATCTGACCCAGTTAAGGAGCCAGAAAGGGAAAATCACCCGCCAGCGATGCGGTCCCCACCCTGCTCTCCCCCGCGCGCCGGCCCGAGTGCCCCCTTGGGGGGGCGGCAAGCACAGCTGCAGGATGTCAGGCCAAAGGGCAGAAAGTGGGGTGCGGGGGGTGGCGCGGAGGCGGAGAGGCCAGCGGGGGCTCCCGGGGACCCTCTGCCGGGGCACGGGGAGCCCACCCACCTCTTGATGTAGCAGCCGAGGCGGCAGAGCTGCCCGTCCAGGCGCACGAGGCCGTCGCCGAAGACGTTGAAGCCCCCGCGCGCGGCCGCGGGCTCCCCGGTGCCCGGCGCCACGAGCTGGTCGCCGCGCAGCTGG